GTCCTCATACCAAAGGCCAAACGCAAGAAAGGTGAACCCAGGTCCCAAAAGATGATTTTTTGTGGGTATGAGCCAGGGACCAAGGGGTGGAGGTTTGCGTATCCGTCAGGGGATCAGTCCAGGATTCTGCTCAGCAACAGTGCTGAATTCTGTGAGCAGAGTGGCTGGGCAAGGATACATGGGAACCCTGACATCCTGTCAGAGAGTCTGCTAGACTCTGCTGATGAAGGAGAGGAAGAGGTTGAACCTGCTACTGAGGCTCAGAGTCCAGGCCCAGTGCAGGCAGAGGGAGAACTTCTCCCAAGGCTGTGAAGAGTGAGCAACGCAGTGCTCCATCTTCCCCACAGGTTCGGCTGAGAAGTCCAGAAGGCGCAGTAAGTCAGAGGGGAGCTCTCTGATGCCAAGGACGTTCTGGCTGGCCCTAGTGGGTCAGAGGGGTTCCTGAAGTAGTGCTGCACCGTTCAACACGGACGACCAAGGGAAACCTCCTGAAAGGTTTGCCGTCACTAGCGTGTGGGTCGGAATGGCACAGTGTGAACCCGAGAGTTTTGAGGATGTTCAGAAACTGCCTCAAGAAGAAGCCAGGAAATGGCATGAGGCGATGCAGAAGGAGATGAACTCAATGGAGTCTCTAGGTGTGTTCTCCCTCACGAAGTTGCCGGTGGGTGAAAAGGCAGTGGGTAGTCTCTGGGTTTTCCGTCTTAAGCCCACAGCGGCAGGAGAACTGCAGTATAAGGCCAGATTAGTGGCGAGAGGATTCACGCAGCAGAGGGGGTTGCATTATACGGAGATTTATGCGCCCACGTGTAGGAGTGAATCTCTACGCTTGGTCTTGGCCATCGCTGCACAAAGAGGTTTGCTGGTGCATCACTTTGATGTGGATGTTGCTTACTTGAACTCAGACCTCCAGGAGGATCTGTACATGCTTCCTCCTCCAGGGTTTGAGGGCAGTGAGCGAGGTACTGTGTGGAAACTTCACAAGTCAATTTACGGCCTGAAGCAGTCGGCCAGGAATTGGAACTTGTGCCTGAATGAAGCTTTGGAGAAGCTAGGTTTCAGGAAGAGTCTTGCTGACAGTTGCCTGTTCCTTAGAGGATCAGGAGACTCACAGGAACTGGTGTTGTTTTACGTTGATGACATCATCCATGTTGGAAAGGCAGACAAACAGGTGCAGAAGTTTGCCAAAGAGCTTGGGAAACGGTTTCAGCTCAAGGACCTGGGTGCAGTAAAGATCTACCTAGGCGTCCAGATAGCGAGAACTGAGGATGGTAGCTTCTTGGTAAGTCAGAAAGGCAAGATTGAACAGTTGCTGGAGAAGTTCAGAATGTCCGATTGTGCAGGAGTTCGGACACCCATGGAGACGAACTTCGTGAAAGATAGCCAGCAAGCAGAAAGTGCTGAGTTTGAGAATGCTGAGCTCTTTCAGTCAGCTCTAGGTAGTCTGTTGTATCTGTCCCAATGGAGCAGACCAGACATTGCCTTTGCTACCAACCTGCTAAGTAGGGAAGCGTCAAAGCCCAGTGTGAGTGCTTGGCACGGTATCAAGCGGGTACTGCGCTACCTGCAGCATACCAAAGACTTCTGTCTTAAGCTGCCAGCTGAAGGTGAGGCGAAGCTCACATGCTATGCGGACAGTGACTGGGCAAATTCGCAGGACCGCAAGTCTGTGTCTGGGTTGGTGATAAAGTTTGGGAAGTCACTAGTTGGGTGGAAGTCCCGGAAGCAAAGTCTCATTGCGCTGTCTTCTACTGAGGCTGAATTCAGTGCACTGTCAGATTTGTGCCGAGAACTAGAGTTCTATAGATGCTTGGTGCAAGAGATCTATGGGGATTGTAGCTTGCCCACCACGGTTTGGGAAGACAATCAACCCTGTTTGAAGTTGGCTGAATCTGCGCAATTTAAGGCGAGAACCAAGCATCTGGACATACGTTTCCAAAATGTGTGTCAGAGTGTTCAGTCAGGTTTGATACGACTGAAGTACTGTGCCAGTCACAGTAACCTGGCCGATGGATTTACCAAATCTTTAAGCTTCCAGCGTCATGGGGAGTTTTGTGGTGGTTTGGAGTTGGGGGTAAGTTCTGTACTTACTTTCCCACAGTAGCGCAGGGCGAGAGGGGGTGTGAGGAGAACCTGAGCTTACAGGGTTAAACAGCTCAGACTGTACGCCCTGCCTACAGTTGGGAGGGGGGAGGTACGTCAGTTCCGAGAGACTCAAGTCTTTGTTCTGTCTCTCTACTTTCGCTTTTGAGGAGAGAGGACGTGTTTTCACGATGCTGTTCACTGTGATAGATAATGGATAGCCTGCTGTAAATAAAACTGCTTTTAGCTGCTAAGATCCTGTGTGGACTTTATTTAAGCACACTGAAGAATGCACTGGAGTTTTTTTTTTGGTTTCCTCTTACCGCTGTTGAAACTCTGCTATGCTCAGATGAGTCGGACTCTTGGAATGCAGAGGTCCGCGATGGCGGAAGCGTGCCGGACCAAGCTTATCTGAGCAATAAATCAAGATATCCCAGAGTAACTAGGTCCTGAAACTTAATCAGGGGTCTTGATCCCACTCCCACTTACAATGATGGTGCAATGTGAAACCTGAAAAAAAGAGGAAGCATACATAAAAATATGCCCGCGGAAGTTAATGGACAGCCCAGAATGCCTGAAAACAAGCAGCTTTTTGATGGGGATTTGGTGATAGATTGACAAACTGCATACAGTCAGGAAGAACAAAATGAAACGAAGAGCTGATTAATAACGCTTGTCCTCCTATATGTTTTATAGGTACACTAAAGATGACATTCCACTCTGCCTGTTGTTCCTCTCATATTTCCTTGCAGGATATTCATCTTGGAGCTAAATAACCAATAACTTCAGGAAGATCTCACAGAGCCGCCGCCAGTGTAAGTATTGCTACAATGACAACATCATCTGCCCAAATCAGTAGATCAGTGTTTTTCAACCTTTTTTGGGCAAAGGCACACTTGTTTCATGAAAAAAATCACGAGGCACACCACCATTAGGAAATGTTAAAAAATTTAACTCTGTGCCTATATTGACTATATATAAAGTAATTATTTTGAATAGGAATCAAATAAACACAAAGATAGTATTTTATAATTACTTTATTATGAAATAGTAAGTAAACAGAAATATGAAAAATTATAAAATACTTTATTCAGTGCGCAACCTGGGCCTGTTTGGCTGAACACAAAGCTGATATTCTGGCTGGAATCGAAGAAAGACACACACGTAGCTCTTCGTCAACAGCTCTCAGTCTCTCTCTGTATTTAGTTTTTATAGCAATCATGCTTGAAAAGCTCATCTCACACAGATCATCTCACACAGACCGACTGGTTCCAGATGACCTCCTCACCTCACGCTGCACCTACGGCCTGGCCTGGATCCGGATGTGGTCTCTCTGCAGTGCCGACTCCCGCCGAGTCCTGGTCTCCGTCCGTCTCCTCCTGCTCTGGTCCTCCTGATGACTCGAGTCGCGACGTCTTCTTCTCTCCGCTGCTGGGCACACTGTGCTCGGGCGGGAAGGAAGTCGGAAGATGATGTCCTACTGTGATAGGTCCAGGCTGGAGTCTGGACCAATCACAGCCCGGACATCAGAAAAGTGGAGGGTGTCCCCCTGAGGAGCGCCAATCGGTGCCCCTGCTGGCCGAGGGTGGGGTCAGAAACCCCACCCCACCCCATACCCAAGACACAGTCCGGCGCCCGCCTAGTGGACGAAAATTTGACATTTTTTTAAAAAAATCTTTCGAATTTTTCAATTTTTCCCATGGCACACCAGGTAACATCTCGCGGCACACTAGTGTGCCGCGGAACAGTGGTTGAAAAACACTGCAGTAGATAATGTACTTCCAAATATAGATACCAGGGAGGTTGCAATTTGAAGAATACAGAACTAGCCTGGAATTAATTATAACTGGGGAGAAAGAGGAAAAATTCACTGAGCAATTGCATTTACCTGCTGGGATTCTGAGTAGTAGGCAAAACTAGTTAGATGAATGAATAGGCTGTAGGCTGATTTGGTATACGGCAGCTACTTATTTACATTCCAGTACTGTACTGAATAAACACTATCCAGTTTTCAATAAATATATGTTCCTGTTGTTATCTATAACTTATTCTAACATAATTTTACTATTTCTGCTCTCTGCATTTTTAAAAAGACATTCATTAAAGCAGTTTCAGCATTATCCTTCCACTTATCTGCTATATGCAGTGCATTGATCTGAAACAAATTATTCATTATATGTTTCAGTTCGGCCCTCCAGATAATACAAATGTAAGACCACCAGATCCCTTGGCAAATCATATCCCAATATTTCCCTGATTTGTTTTGTAACTTTCCCCCAGAATGTTTGGTGTTTTTTAAAAAAAATATTTGTTGCAATGCCATCATATATGCATAAAAGCTGTTGGTCTGTTTTATAATTCACATTTCCAGCGTTTTTCCATTGTTGAAATTAGGTTTCTGTTGTTGAAATTACATAGTGTTAAGTGCTGCTGAAACATATTTGAGAGACATATTCCTTCAGGATTATGTATATCAGTTTATAGGATATATTATACCAAATCAATTCTCATGCATCTTGCAATGCAGCAAAACTCCAAGCCTTCCTCCCATTTAGTTTGATATGGGCAAGTTGCCAGGAAATCCTGCCATTATTTCCTTGTTCGATACCTTAATAGATTGTTTAATATTGTTTGTGGCCCAAGTTTCTCAAACTTTGATCTCGCCCTGACATGTTCCATGATTAATGTGATAACTATGCGCCTTTCAAAATATTGACAGAAAGGCAGTCTTTTCATTTTTATATTGATTGCCACTTCTTGAAACGAAAGTATCTGATCATTACATATCTTGGTGATATTATGGGTGAAATCAAAAGGCCCTCCAATGAAACAGAAACTGTTTGTGGAATGGACTGAGGTTCCCTCTGCAGCTCCCCCCCCACGTCCTCCACATGCCTCCCCCTAATCTGCTTGAGGTGGTTGCCCCCCTCCCCCCCGGGCAGATTTTGGAGTTTGTGTGAGGGCTACTGGAGAAGAAAAGAAAGAGAAATTCTGTTGCAAAAGTGAACATGTTTTCTGGATTTATCAAGACCTACATTCTTCTATTTATGAAATGTTCAAGTTAAAGATTAGAAGTAGAGGCTCAGTTCTGATCTGCACATATCCCAGCTTTCATTTTTAACTTTGTTCCATCTTCTAACAACAAAACATGGAGTTGGATCTGTGGGAAGAGTTCCTCTCATATTAAGGGCATTTCTGGCATCCACTCATGGAAGTTCTGTCTCTTCCAGCCTGATACCCCTCCCCACCAAATGCTGCAGATGGTTGGGGGACCATAATGCAATACATAGGGGAGTTCTTACATTTGCTTACTCTAATACCTAGCTTTATCAAAATAGGCTATTAGGTTTCTCTAATTTAATTGTAACGTGCAAACAAAGTGTCCTATATAAATATTCCTTAGCATATTGACTACATTCTGATTTTCTAAATATACACACATTTAAAAGGCTAACTCCAGGCAAATTGTAGCCATGAAATGATGATGGTGATGACTGATTATTTTATGATCAGGACAAAACACAGAGATTATGTTTTTGACCTCACCACAGATACCCATTGGATATCTTACCCTTTCTTGAAGACAAATTTACTTCTGCTGTGCCTGTCAACAAAACGGACAGGAATCATATTACTTAAAGCATCTGCAACTGATATCACAATAACATGTTTGTCATTTGCTGTTTTTTTAAAAAAATAATATTTATTAATTTTCAACCATTTAAACACAACAAAACAGAAAGACAAAAAAAGAAAGAACTAAAAAAGAAAAAAAAAGAAAAACATGAAACTAACAAAGCAAGACACAAACCATTTCCAACACAGAACAATTTCAATGTCTTATCTTTCATTCCCTTATTTCCATGACCTCCTCACACGTCCCTTTTTGTTTTCCACTTCTATTAATTATTTCAGCAGTTCCTTTCCATCTTCCTCTGTTTTCTATCCTATAATTATCTTAACATATTCTAACCTTATTTTCCCTATAATACACTATTAATCTATTTATACTTGATTCCTTATAGCATTTCTACTAAAGCCATATAACTTCATTCCAACATTTTTCTAACATTCATTATTTTTACAATATTTCTATAAATAGTCTTAAACGTTTTCCAGTCTTCTTCCACCAGCTCTTCTCCCTGGTCTCGGATTTCTGCCAGTCGTTTCCGCCAATTCCATATAGTCCATCAACTTCATCTGCCATTCTTCCCGAATGGATAAATCTTGTGTCTTCCAGTACTTCACAATGAGTATTCTTGCTGCTATTGTTGCATACATGAAACAAATTCTATCCTTCTTTAACACCAATTGGCCGACCATGCCCAGGAGAAAGGCCTCTGGTTTCTTCAAAAGGGTATATTTAAATACCTTTTTCATTTCATTATGAATCATCTCCCAGAGTGTCTTAATCCTTGGGCATGTCCACCAAAGGTGAACTCTAATCCTCAAATTCGTCTGTTTTTCTTTAAGTTCAGTCATAGCGAGCGTCAACTTATGTTCCTCAAATTGCCTCTGTAGGGCTGGGGCTCTCTTTCTCTTTCTCTCCAATTGTGTTACTCCACATTCAGCAACAACGGCTTTTTCCCTGGCTTCCTCCGCAGTTTGCCGTATCAAAGTAGGTTCCTGTATCGATTTCTGGGTGGTTTCTGTATTGGTATTGTTTATACTTTCTGTATTTAAGTTAATTTTAGTAATTGAAACATCCACTTTCGCATTTATCGTGTCCATTTTCCTGTGAAGCTGATCCAATGAGTCATTTATCTTATATAATGCAGCCACTAAAGCCTCTTCTGTCAACATTCCTCTTAGTTTTAAATATACTAGCACAAAGACAGCAACAGAAAGAACAGGAGGGCCTAATGATAGACCTCTCCTGGATTGTTACCAAGTCCTCCCACACCTTAATGTTTTGTCCGCAGTTGACTGGTCTGTTTTTCCTCTTCCATTTACCATAACATTTAAAAGATTCAAGGTCAGTCCCAGAGTCTCACGGTTTTTAACTTGCAGCTGGAAATTCCCCTAGTCCAACTCTTGTAAAGCAACCGGTCTCAAAAGCTTCCACTAGGGGGAAACAGTTTCTATTTGTAATAATCAATAGTATCTTCTTTTAAACAATCCAAAATTAGTTTCAACTTAGTTTCAATTTTCAGTTACTTTTACTCCTTTTTAAAGCAGCCGGAGACAGTAGAAACAATGTATTTCTCTTATTTAACTAGCTGTCAATGAACTTTCTAAGCGCTGTCAATGAACATTCCAAAAGACGTCAGTCCTACTAGCAGCCCATTTCCAGGGTCAGAGCGGCGGTGTTTAAAGTCTCTTCGCTCTCTCCCGCAGGCATACTCAATCCGCAACTTCCCCCTCTCTTTTCCTGCCTCCAAGAGGGGGTTTAATGTTCGTTACCGTTGGAACTTTGATCTTTTACAAAAGACCTTCCAGGACTCCAGCTTACAACTTCATTGCCTCAGTCTATTTACAAAAGGGGGAGGCGGACTTTCTGTTTTGAACCCCCCGTTACGGTACCAAATTAAACATTTAGAAATCCAATTCTTCCGCTCTACTCACGGGTAATTACTTTAAAGTCAAATTGTCCACAGGAAAAGGTCAGCGCTCTCCGGCAACAGCTATGCGGCTTCGCTCCGTGGAAGAAGCAGATGATTCGATGCACCGCGCCGCTCACCCCACGTCGCTCCGGAGCCCCAAAAACTGGGGTTCCCCGCGAGTGGGGGAGGCGCAAAAGGTGCCCGCCGAATCCCACGTTCACAGGCTTCTCCCGCCAGTGATTTTAACGGGTCTCCGCCTTCGCCATGGCGGTCAGACCCAGATTCCCACGGAGCGGATTCCTCCCGGTCAGAGGAATTCCGCCATTACCGGAGGTGCCTCCCAACATGTTTGTCATTTGGATACACTCAATCAACACTACTTTTCACCATCTGACGAAAAGGATTGCTGTTTATGACTTCCTAAAAATGAAATTATTAGCCTCTAGCTTTGAATGTTCCAACATAGATGCTACTAGGCAAATAGTCCCCAGAAGCATTTGGAGAGGAACATTTCTAACTTTTTTTATTACATCATATTTTACCTTTATGATTTGCTGCTTTGCAGATTGATATTTGAGGGTTTATTTTATTTTACTTTATTCCTGCACAAGGAGCAGGTTTGAAGCATTGTCTGTGCTAGCCATCACCAATGTGGTACCTTCCAGATGTTTTGGCTTATAACCCCCAACAGCCTCAGCTTCCCAGCTGTGGAAGTTGTAATCCCAGACATCTGCAGGGCGCCGGGTTGTTGAAGGCTGGTCTATGCTTACATCAGAGTGAGGTAATAAAATGCTGATTGGCAAAATGGACTGTACCACTTCAAACTGCATGTAGGGGATACATTTTTTAAAAAAGAGTTGTTGTTTTAAAAAGAGTTTGACTGCATATCACTTCCCTGCACTTAAAAATCTAGCTTGGCTAGTTTTCTACTTATCAATATTTCTGTTTTGTTTTAAAGGAAGGATCACAATTTCCCCCACCTGCAGGATGAAGTTGTGTTGTCAAGTACCTCAACATTCTGTCTTGTTATTTCCATTTCATTCTGAGGCATATGTTGAACCAGCCTCACACATTCCTTCAGAGGAAATGGAGAAGCAACAGCTTGACTTGAAAGCCTCAGAAGGTTTGTGTACCCATGTTATCATCAGCTGTTATCGGAAATTAAACAATGTCTGTGTTTTGAATTTTCTCTTTACTATTACTCATTATATAGTACAACACAAGAAGTACAAATGCCCACCATCTGCGGTTTCCCTCCCTCATTTAAAATACTGTTTATTGAAAATGATCATGAGTGGACCAGACAGAAGACTTTGCTCTTCCTGGTCGTCTCCAAGGACTCTGAGGAAGGCAGGCCCCATCTGTTCTCCTTTCCTCAGACCATTCCAAGATTTGATTTTCATTAAAAATATTTTATTTATGGGAAATGATTCGGACTTGGTTCAGATGAGCAACTTGATCATAAATAACTTAAACAAATTATATGCTCCAAAAATAGCAGCTTATGTCTTGATCAACCCCATTGCCTATCCCTCAACTGCCCTGATTAAATTGAGACATCCCATCGTGAGGTCACAATCTCATGTGTTTTGCCCCAAAATATGTGTTTTGGGGCTCAGTGATCTCACGCAGGTCATGTGAGTCATGTGGGAGTGCAGCTGGGAAGGTGCACATTCCAGTTTTTGGCCTCGATATGTTGGAGTGCAGGATCAGCAGCATACACTCTTTGCTATGCCTTAGGCATGAAGTCCAACGTTGACATAAAGATGTGATTCTGCGTTCTTGGGATACACAGAGAGGTTGCACAGAGGGAGAAGACTTGACAGCAACTAAGGCTAAAACTTGGGCTTAGATAGGCATGTAGTAGATCCAAAAGTGTGTTTAGGTGAGCCGGCATGATGACCAATGAGAGGAGGTTAAAATGAGGAAATGAAAGGGGATTGGATAAATTCCAGCTAGGTGTGCCTGGGCATTGGGGAGGGGTTACAGGAGAGAAGACCCAGTAATATGGCAGGGAAGGTTCTGCTAAGATGTAGATTGGGGCATGTAAACAAGGATGATTCAACTGGAAGATTTATCTTATAATGCTCTTTCTGAATGTATTTATCTTTCAAGAACAATAACTATACCAAGTGTCGTCCTGGTGACTCATGCTGTTTTTCTTGCATATGCCTAGTGTTCATCAGTATGCGGATGATACCCAGCTCTACCTCTCTTTCAAATCAGAACCAGTGAAGGTGTTGAGGGTCCTATGTGAGTGTCTGGAGGCGGTTGGGGGATGGTTGGCGGCTAACAGATTGAGGTTGAATCCTGACAAGACAGAAGTACTGTTTTGGGGGGGACAGGAGGCGGGCAAGTGTGGAGGACTCCATGGTCCTGAATGGGGTAACTCTGCCCCTGAAGGACCAGGTGCACAGCCTGGGAGTCATTTTGGACTCACAGTTGTCCATGGAGGCACAGGTCAATTCTGTGTCCAGGGCAGCTGTTTGCCAGCTCCATCTGGTACGCAGGCTGAGACCCTATCTGCCTGCGGACTGTCTCGCCAGAGTGGTGCATGCTCTAGTTGTCTCTCACTTGGACTACTGCAATGCACTCTATGTGGGAACCTGGACTCCTCACAGCTGCCCTCATTGCTGAAGCCTCACTTACTGGGGTTGAGTTGTGGGAGCTTCCAGCAAGTTCTCATGAGAACTTTCTGGAAGCCGCTGCCATGACACCCTAGTGAAAGGAGTGGGTGGGATAATGTGGGATTCTGTCACCTGAGGCAGCTGCTTCCGCATGCCTAATGGGTAGTCCATTTCTATCTGCATCTATATTTGTGTAAAATTTCTGGTTTATGGAGACAGTTTGTCTCTGGAGCTCAATGCAGGGGCTTTTAGATGCATAAACCATCATTTGGTGACCTTTTGATTACCAATCATTTTGCCTTATTATCGTTATTGCAACCTAGCTCCCTGGTAGTCCATCAGTCAACTTCCTGGATACTCTGACCTCACTGACAAGAAGGCCAAGCATAGAGAAATCAACTACAAGACTGGATGTAACATCAAGAAAGAATGGTCATTCCCATGTTCCTGTGCTTTAGCCAAAGCAATCTTTGGTTCGCCCCAAACACAAAATGGAAGCTAACAGCAAAAGCCTTGTAACAGCATTTTCAGTCATGAAGGTTGGTTTTGTGTGTTATTTTACTGGTACATCCATGCATGCGTGAAAAATAGTAAAACACCACACACAAAAGGATCTTGATGCAGTCACATGTATGTACAATTGCTTTTGCTTTTCCTTTTGCAGTGTTTTATCACAGCAAAATAGACGAGGAAAGATTCACAAATGCATGATAGGAACTCAAAGAGGCAGCAAATTCCACATGTACTGCATTCAATACAAAATTTAAAGGGGGAAAAAGAACAATGAAGGATTCCTAATGCATCAGTTCCACTTTGGAAACAAGATGAGATAATTCAGAACTACAGGGAAACACCTGAATGAGAAGATCGCTGAAAGCATCACAAGTTACTAGCAGCCTCTCTTGCCAAAGTGTTCATAATTCAGATTATTCATAATGCATCACAGCTCTTGTGCATAAGGACTCTTTTGTAAGTCAAAGCAGTTAGTCATACAAGTTCTCTGGAGAAATGTTAAGGCACCAAGAGAGAAAGCAAACAGGTAAGTAGTCTAGGTTTATTCTATGTCCTTTAGCTGGTTGTGATGGTTTTTTCCCCTCCCTCCACTGTAGTCAGAATCAGCAGTTGGTTGCTTCTGAAGTTAGAGAAGTAGATATATTCAGCATTCAGAGGAGAAGCATGGAGAGAGGATGTAATGCAGTTGACAAGTAAGGAATCTGTTTTTGCAGAAGCTGCCTAGATACTTTTAAAAGAACTTTTGGACACCAGAGAGAATATCTCACGCTGGGCTTTCACATCATTAATCATGCTAGAGGTGGCTATTGGTAATGACAAGCTGCAAATCTGTCCCGCTGATTATTCTTCTATCTCCAAGTTTTAAAAGTAGAGTTTGACTGACATTCATAATAGCCTCTCCTCCTTGCTCATATACACTGCTTTTTAGTCTCTGGTACTAAGCACACTCTATTTTTGGCCTCCCTAATCCCAATTTCCATTTTTCCTCCATCTGCCTCAAAAAGCACTAGCTGAAGACCAGAGATTTTTACAGAAGGAGTGAAAGGCACCTCTTACCCAATGAATGCATGAAACGGCTGGCTCTCCGAGCTGGCTGTAACTACCTTGGCGGTGGGAAACAATGTTCTACATAACTGCACAGGCAGCAAAGTGAATAATGAAATCCACAGCTTTTATGAAAACCTCAAGGACGGAGATAGGATTTTCTCCCTCCACTCTATCATCATTCCAGATGAACTATCAGCTTATGGAGTTAATATGGTAAAATCTGTAATTATCTAATTGCTTCTAAGGCTGGAGAAGCAAGCTGGCTCACACTTTGCTTTGAACTAGTTAAGCGTGAGGCCTGCTTCCGCTTGCAATTGCCTGCCTGGCATCTCTTTTCATCCTCTACATTTGCAAAGAAATCAAACATGGGGAAATAATGCCTTACAGCCTGAGGGCCACATTTCCTTCTGAGCAACTTTCCAGGGCCACATGCCAATGATGGGCAGGACCAGAGGCAAAAGTGGGCAGGGCAATGAATGTAAAGTTTGTCTTTGTACAATAGGGCAGGTTCTACACATGCTCACTTGCCCATCTCTACCATCCATCCGGGGAAGCAAGAGGCATGATTATAGTTCAAGGACACATTCCAGCCTAGCAAAAGCACACAAGGAGGGCATGCAGCAAGACCAGTCAGTGGTGCAGGGTCTGACTGAGGAGAATCCTGAGCACCAGATACAGAGGCTTGAGTGAGGGACACATTTGGCCCTTGGCTCTGAGGTTCTCCATCGTGGAAACAGAAGGTGCCACTGGAGCTATGAGGAAAGGAGTGGACGAAGAACTGCTGTGCTCTTCTGTGTCCCAGTAGTAGTTGCGACTTTTTTGCTTACCATAAGTCTTTCCTGCCCATAAAAGCAACTGCTGGAGAAATGGCCCAGAAGTTGGCTTTTCAGAAAGGAAGGCACAGTATCATTAGACTTCTCTCCTTCAAATAATAATAATAATAATAATTTTTTATTTATACCCCGCCCTTCCCAGTTCAGAAAACCGGGCTCAGGGCAGCTAACAACAAATTTAAAACACTTAATTTTGATACAACAAAAACCAGCATAAAGTATAGTATAAAAGTGTGAATAACAATAAATACAAAGTTCTAAAAACAATTTAGGGGAAATCCATCCAATAAACATTAGATGATCACCAGAGCTAGCTGGCTAAATTAGTCCTATTTGGGCCAGCAAAGAGGCCAGGGGAGAATTAGCTGTGGCATCCCAGAGCTGGTAATCCTCAAAAAAGGGGAGGGGGAGGGAAGGAAGGGGAATAAAAGATCAGGCTAAATTCAGATTGAAAGCAAGGAGGAATAGCTCTGTCTTACAGGCCCTGCGGAAGGAGGTTAAATCCTGCAGGGCCCTGGTCTCATGGGACAGAGCATTCCACCAGGTTGGAGCCATCACTGAGAAGGCCCTGGCCCTGGTGGAGGATAATCTGACTTCCTTAGGGCCCGGGACCTCTAAACTATGATTATTCATAGACTTTAAGGTTCTCTGCGGGGCATACCAGGAGAGGAGGTCCTATAAATGGAAGACAATCTTATGTTCCTTACTGAAAGAAAAACTATACTTGACATTATCTCATGATAATGACAGCATCAGAAATAATTGGGATTGAGTAGAAATAATTGGGATGAAACTCAGTCTACATGTATAATGTCCCAAGCTTTCAAATGCTTTCTACAACCTGAACTCTTTAGCTCACTCATTATGAAAGCTACCAAATTTTCATTTGTTTGAATGTGAGTCTCTGTGAAGCTTTCAAAAACCCATGTACCTGTTGTCTCTAGTACCACTTGGAGCAAGTCCTTTAACATCTTCATATGAGGGGATATACTTTCATCTATTTACCAATATTAATGTTTTTTTCATTATTCAGAGGCATCTTTGTGGCCAATGGAGTTTGCCTCAAGAGAAATTTTGGAAGGTTTTACAAAATAAATTTCCTCCTTCAATGTGAGTTTAGAAGGGTTGACAACTGAACTATAAAGAGATTTTCAGATCTGAGTGAGTGTCCAGAGGCACCAACAATATTTTCACACTTAAAAGCAGCAATGTATTTGATACACATTCCTCATACTGAAAAGGAGCAATGTATTTGAGGCAGATTCCTTACATGCTGTTACACCATATTTCCCTCTCTCTGTTTTAAAGTGAGGTCTCTTATTACTGCACATTTTGTAAATCAGTTGACTCCTTCTAACACCCCACTCCCACACACAGACACAAACTTTGTCCATTATTTTTGGTAGCCTTGGATATGGCTATGTTGTTACTGCCCAATGATCATTTGTGCACAAAATGCAGGAAGCTCTTTCCTTCAAATGCTAAAAATTCTCTTTCAGAAACCACTTGCCTCCAGCCAAGAATCAGAAAAGAAAGAGATCTGGGTTTCTTTTTATTGTGCTTCTTCCCTTGAAAGACTCTGAATAGCCTGCATTGAAATATATTCTATTGAAACTATTTAGGTTTCCGTGGTAGAAATGTTCACTCAATCTCCTCCACAGAATATTGATAGTCTTTCTCTTTTTTTATTTTGTGAAAGGGAGGCAGCAACTAAAGAATATATTTCAATTTCCCAGATGGAATACATAATTTCAAAAGGTTTCTTGTGGCACTTTTCCCCCTCAGTATTCACATTGCTCTTTTTAAAGTTTTGATTAAGGGGCACACCTTTTACAGTAGGAGGCAAAATGTACACTTGAGAAGCTACAGCTTTTGAATTGCACTTGGAAAGAAAGGGCAGCTAAGACGAATGAATTAGACGCCTTTTAAAGTATATTCTGTGTGAGTGCCTATCTAAAGTCTTTCAGGGACCACATACCAATCCATGGAAACAACCTGTGAGTAAGAGCTGCCCTATGTGTGAATGACTCTCATTGAGTGGAGAGATTTTGCTCACCACCAGTTGCTTCTGGTGACAGACTGTAGCACGGAAAAATCTCTGTCAAGAGTCTGTGCTCTCCATTAGGTATGGAGAAACTTTTTTGGGCTGACGTCCACATGACCTGACTAGAAAACTGATGGGTGTTGCATTACAGTAATGCATAAGGCCAAACCCACATACAACCACCCTCAACACACACAAACACACAAAGCTATTTTTCATGAAATATATTTATTTCTTAGGAGCTTCACACTGATTTCACCTTCTATTTTCTCCTCATGCTTGAAAAAAATAAAAATCTCCCCAAACTCAAATGTTAACATACTGTTACAAAAATTGGAAGCCACCCCCCACAGGGCCATAGGCATCTCAAGAGAGGCTTGTTCCTCATAGCAGTGCAGCACTGGAGCCCAAAGCATCTCACCCAACCTGCCTTCAGCCAGCCTGCCTGAGATGGATCTCTTTTCACTCCTCCTCCTCCTCCTCCTCCTCCTCCTTTTTCTTCTTTCTCCTCCTAGCACACCTTGTTCAAGACTCTCTTTCCCTGTCACCTCACCCCCTCCCCATCACCTTGGCAACCCCTGTCTTAGATGGGCCATCAGCACCCTTTGTCATGTTAATGGATTTGCTCTTCACTAGGCTGGCCAGGTTGGTTTACATAAGCCAGCTCAGGGATTCCTTGTCTAGCACAGTTCTGCAGTGAGTATTTTCATGCATATCCCAAATAATCAAAATTCTACCATTTATTAATTTCTTGGGTTTAGCGGGGTCCTCCCTATAACACCATGCAGTTGCAAAATTCATGATTCAGCTATGTGTGCTGTAAAACATCTGCTATGGTTCTTCTGGTGGCAGTTAACAGTTGCCATCCAAGTTTGCTGAATGGATACAATTTTTGTGGGTCCTGGCAAGCTCCTGCTCAGGCAAAACACTATAGGAAATGGAAATCAGAGATACTACTCAGCAATGTGCATGGTCATGTCTAGGTTGCCATCAAATCTGGAGTGTCCTTCTCAAGTAGAACATACATTATATAGTCTAAAGTAGGTGTCGTTAAATCTTCCAGTTTTGGATTCTCTCGATTTCTCATTTTCCCAGTCTAAAGTGCAGTTCTCCACATTTCCAAATCAGTTTGAAGTGCTTTTTAAAGTTCTCTTGAAAATTCATCAGTATCTTAGTGCAAATTTCTCCTAATACACCAATGTTTCAATGCAATTCAATAAACATATATATGCACACTTTACCCTGAGGTATGCATTTTTTTCATTCAAATTGCTTGACTGGAGAACTTCACTGCAAAATTCAGAGAAGTGCAGATGTCAAAGTATGATTGTGCTTTGGTTCATGTATTGTTTCAGAAAAACTGAATTAGGGGGATTCGCCTTCAAATGCAAATTAAATCAAATTTCTCCC